TGAGCTCGGCTTACAGGCTAGGAAGTGTTCCCTAAACTGAGCAGACATGCAGGAAAGGCAGCTTCAGCATCTGGGGTCTAATCTTCCTGCTTCCCACCTGCTCAGTCCCTGAAAGGACATCAGCCTAAACCAGGACACACACTCATTATAGACCCTCACTCCAAAGGCAGGGAAGTGGCCTTTTGGATAAACAGCCCTGAAAAGGACATCCTTCTCAGGAACTTATACAAGTCAGTCTGGTCCTTCATTCATAAAAACGGCAAGTAATCACTTTACTATTCTCTTCATAACCAAGCCCTGAGGAAATCCATGAATTACCAAAATAAAAGTCTATTTTCTTATAAGAAGTCATTGCATCCATAAAGAACAGGTGGCCACAGAAAGACAAGTAATTAGAGAACAAGATACTGTTTTGGAAATTTAAGGAAAAGAAAAAATACATAGCCAAAATTTTAAAATTCTATAAAGGGCTAAGTAATAGAATGGTTACCACTGAAAACCTAATTGTTTCTGTCACGGACCATGCTGACAGTTACAGCACAACCCTACTCAAAATCATTGTACACTTGAATGTCTCAACAGAGCTGTTACCAAAAAACAGCCAAGCCCCCTCAAGCCTGAGAAGTGATCCTTCGGAGGCAAGCATTCTGGACTATTCTTTAGAGATGCCCCAGGGACTGAACTCCAGTTCTGTGTTGCCAGTTGGCTTAACACACACTACTGTTGGCTGTCTGCCTTCCCAACATCACTTCACCATGAGCCATGCACCTACACTTCCCTAAACAACTTGAGCTGGAATCCTCCTAAGACCTGTTTCTGGAAGAGCCCCAACCAAGAGTAGGATAATACTTTTTTCATTTTGAAAAAATTATTTTAAAAGAGGTGGTTGAAGTTGGTACCAGGATCAGAGTTACTGATGACCTTTCAACAGAGTGGTCAGGGAAGGCAACTTGGGGAAGGACTTGGATGATCAGATGGAAAGTGTCAGCTGAAGACAGGCCAGGGATGGGCTCTATACCAGATGGTAGGATTTGAGAGTCATGAGCAAGCCCACGCTGACACTGAGGATGCAAGCTCCTGGTGCAGTCCGCTTACTGCTTGTGTAAGATGAAAGAGCATATCCCTGATACGGGGCAGCTGTCGGGAAGCTGCAAGCCCCATTGTTCAACCGCTTGGCCCCTGACTTCGAAATAAGCCCTTGGATTACAATCAAATTAAAAACTCTACTTCTGCTGCTTCAGCACAATCAATACATTCCCTTTCACAATGCACAATGGACAGGAAAAAAACAACTGCCAAAGCTCAGAAGCCACTACTATGATTGCTTGGGTGAAAATTCCTAAACACAGATCAAAGTGAGAAAAGCAGGATATAAACCTAAATGGGCTCCACCTTTCAAATAAACCTAAACAAGGCTCCATCTTTCAATTTAAGGGCACACACACACACTAATGTGGTACTTCAGTTATCCTAAAACACAGTATTTCACATTTTAACACCTCCCACAACTGAAGCATATCATACATTTGATACAAATCATATTGAGTTTTTTAGTGGTGTATAAATAGTACTGCACCTTATAATTAATAAATATGGAATTTCATATGTAATGTGAACAAATAAGATTTTAGGGACTCTTTAAAGACAAAAGGGCCTAATTTTTGGCCTCTACCTTCTGAGATATTAAGGGGGAAAAAACTTTCCTTTCAAATTACTTTGAGACCTGAATACATCATGATAAATATTTTAATTTTTCAGATTTATTGTTAATGCTAATTAGGTAAAGTTTGGTTTCAAAGTTATTTGGCAGATGACCCAGGCATCAGAAAAGTAAAGCCAATAAAGAATTAACATAAAGGAAAAATCAATGTATCCTACACTCTACATAGTCCAGGACATGAACTATTTATTTTCCTGATCTAAACAAGAATTTTTACTTCATCTGACATTTTTCTTAAGGTAAATCACAGAGAAGTTAACTTTTGGCCCAAATAAAGACTTCATCTCAGCTTTCCTGAAAGTGAAAATAAGCCATCCTTTACTTTAGTAAAGGCAGCCTTCCTTTCTGCATCTGAGAGAAAACAAGATAACCCAGGACATATCACACATTCCAGACCATACCAATCAGGGGCAGAAAAGTAGGTGGTGGTCACACTTTGGGTGCCTTTATTTCTGAATTCAACTTCAAGCGTGACTCAAACTTCCTGCCCTTCTTTTCCATTCTCCCCTCAACCAACTCAAGACAGGAAGCCAGGGTCAGGGATGGAAACGAGCCATTCTGGTCTCCTTCATCCTTTTCCTCTTAAAGCCTGGTTGGGTTGATGAAAAGTCCAAAACACTGGCAATGCTCATTTAGCCATTTTGACTTTCAAACTCAAAATCATCATGACTTGTGAATAACCATGAAAAAGGTTCAAATACCAGTTTCCATTGAGGCCTCAGTTATTGAATGTTTCTCTAAGAATGAATTAGATCTGATACTTATATCCAAGATGGACACTCAGGTAAGAATCTATCTCAAAGGCACCAAAAGGGCTTCCTGGGTTTAGGATCAGCCAGTACCAATGGTGAGCCCAGTACCTAAGATCCCTCTGCTGAAAAAGGGTCATCCCATGAGGTCAATGACCCGTGTTGTGGGCTCAGGTAACAACTGCATGAGAACCTCGGCCAAATAAAGAAGATCTGGAGAGCATCTCACCCACCAAACGTCATTAGCACCAAGGACTGATGTTCAAACAAAGCTACGTGTGATGAGGAGGTTCACCAAAGGCCCTCTGTGGCTTTTCAAAACATGTTTCAAAACCTGCTGCATCTCTTCTTTCTCTGCAGACTTGAAATCTCAGTGAAGGAGAATCCCTAAAAGAAAAAAAATTAAAAGACATCTTCCTCAGGAGAGAAATCTGCTACTTGTGAACACATGGTCAAGGAAGCACATGTGTATATGGACACAAGCGATTTGTGAACCAACTGCCTGTGAATGTTCCGAGAGCTTCATTATTCTTCTCTAAACCTGACGTGGTGGTGTTGGCCACCACCCCTTACTCACAAGCACTGCAGCAGAGAGGTCAGACGCCAGCACGTGAGCCCGAGAAGGACCAGACTTACAAGTCTTCAAACCCCACAGTGAGTGAGTATCAGTGTCCCCACGTCCGCTCACATGCATGGCCTCAACATTCCCAGCAGGAGAGGACAGTGTGCTGTGTGTTCTCACAATAAGCCTTCTGTTTTTTTAGTTTCATCCAATGCCTACTTGTTTTTAATTGAACGTTATCAGTTTCTTCTCAACACAAGTCCAAGAAAATAACAAGCGGTCAAGGCCGCTCTGTTTCATCACAGATGAAACATACATCTATGTTTCACAGAAACACACAAACTCCAAAATGGATATGGCTTAGGATGATACAGTCTTTAAGATGCTGCTCTATTTCCTAGTTAAATTCTTCATACTACCAGGAAGTGGAAGTATAAATAAGTATTCATGCTCCTCTCTAAAGACACGACATGGGGAAGCACTTTTAAAAATTTTAAATGCAAAGACAAATGACCCACAGAAACAGAGAAAAAGGCACAGTTCAATATTACTACTGCAGTCAATAGTTTCTGTGGGAAAAAAGTGGCCTTTTTTTTTTTTTTTTTAAGTGGCCTTTATGGGAAAGGCCTTTTGGGGAAAAATATAATTAAATACAAGAAACAGAGATTATAGATGACACGTTACACATGACAATTAAAAATATGGTGACTTTATTTCCATTTCCTTACAGTTCCCACATCTGTAAGAATCTTCATCTCTATAACACAAAAATATCTCAAGAAAGCATGTTACAAGATAGTATATATAAGCAACAGTTTGGCAGAATTCTACTTTCTATTCCCCCAAAAGAGAATAGATTTTAAAATTCAAAAATAACCATTAGTTTTATTTAACATGTTACTTTACTGTTTAAAATACCATGCTCTAGTTAAATAAGTCATCAAGACTGTATACAAATAAAATATTACACAAAATATATTTAAGAAAATGTTTGGTATTTGATCTGAACAATAAATAAAAACACAGGCACTTCTACACTGAAACAGGAAAGCAGTCACTACTTAGGATAATAATTTTGTATAAGTAACATGAAACCATATGGCAAGAATAGAATCTTGCAGTTTTTAACTGACAAACCAGGTCTACAATTTCAATCTTTTCACTTAAAGTTCAAAAGTTACATATGCTTTCCTGGTCCACAATGAAAAATTATAAATACAATATGGTTGCCAGGGACAATGCAATCTTCAGTTTGAAGATTATGGAATCATACTCATTATTTTCAAATACTAAAAAAGAGAACTATCATGATACCACCCAGGAGACCAAATGCAAGATAGTTAAGCTTTCTCATGATGATCATAAGACCATAACTTAATAAACTGGATAAATGTCACCCAGCGATGCCCACTTTGCAAAACCGATTGATTAGGTTAACAAGGAAATACTGTTGGGGTGGCAGGGCAATTCTGACAAAAGTCAATTTTTTCTAGATGATTTTAAAACTTCATCTAAATTTCATGAAAACAAATATAATTGCATTTCACTAAAACCACTGAGTCATATACAACAATGTCTCTGTAGCCAATAGGTTTATGAATACCTAAACTGATAATTTACTCATATAATGGAAAATAGGATTATCATTGTATGAGGGCAAAACAAAAATATGGTCAAATTCTAGAAACATGATTTCAGATGATGAGGGGGACGAGTTAGAAAATAATGACCACTGGCTAATAGGAAGGGTCAGAATCATTCATTTTGCCATATTCTACATAAAAAAATTAGCATCTTCTGCTTTCCCTCTTCAGGAAGTACCACACTGAAGGGTTCAGAGGCCATCAGATGGGTATGACCTATAAAGGCAATGTTGATGGTTTTACATAGAAGTGACCTCTAATGGAAGAGAACACAAATGGGAACTATTTGAGATACATTTCTATGTAAAATGTAGTTTGCACATAAATCAGCATTTTAAATGAGCACTCTGCAACCGAGACCAAATATCAATCATCTCTTGAGGTTTTCTACTATGTACCAACATCAAATCTACATAGGAACAAATGTTACCCCTGCTTTTCTCTTCTATATCAAATGTCCTGAAGCCTTTGTGTCTCTCTGGAGCGAGGCCAAGTTTCTGAAGGCACATTCCAGTATAAACATCATCGATGGGGTAGAGAAGGACCCGGTCAGTTACATTGTACAGTCTCAGGGCCAGGTGGCCGGAGTAGAGGAATCCACCTCCTCCTGCATAAGGCGGGTAGACGCCAGTGTAAACAACTTCCGGGATGTAGTACTTCAGTTTCTTATCCCGATGAGGTCCAGCATTATGAATCACGTCACCAATAAACAAATCTTTGGCTTTGTTCCCGGATAAGCTATTCAAGTAATTCAGGAGGTGATGGGTGTTCACAAAAACATCATCATCGCCCTTGAACACGAACTCGGCATTTGGGCAGGAAGTGCTCACCCACCTGAGAAAGAGTACTTCTTTCAGAGACAAGTTGAAGAATGTATCTCTGTAGTTCCACAAAAGAATGTCTTGGTGCTTCTCACTCTCAAATTTCAGCATATCTGAAAGGTCTGGATGGTTGTCTTCTGCGGGAGTCTGGCCCAGTAAGAAGACTCGCACCACCGTTTGGTTCCCCACATTGGTTTCTTTGCCCCAAGATTCCCGAATCGCTTGCCTTCTATCGAAATGTGAAGTTAGGGACTTAATAGCCAGCAATAAGAAGGGCTTCTTTGCACACTTATCTGGTTGGTCTATAAGCAGTGAATAATTTCGACATCTCAAATACAGCAGAAAATCTTTAAATCTGTCTGGCAAACTGTCAAAACCTGAAACTACTGACATGACCCTCAGGTCAGGTTCACAGTAATTCAGATGGCTTATATTGGAGAATCCGTATGCTTCTCCCGTCTGGTTGGCTAACGTGTTCAAAATGGGATTGAACCTCCTGTTCAGCTTTTCTTGTTCCTTGTTCCAATATGCCCGAGGAGGGTCAGATATCTTCCAGAACCTTTCTTTAGGTATTATTACTTCCCCCTTTCCATTTTTTTCTTGGCTACTGCTTTTGGAGACTTCCACAATCAAATAAATGAAGACATTTACCATCATCAGGATTCCCAACAACTTTATTCTTCGACGTCCAACACTCATTTCTCATATCTGAAATAAAAGAGAGGACCATGGTACTGATTAGATTATTATTCACTGCATTTGCTCATATGTCACTTGCCTCTTTCATGTTCCCCAGAACAGTGGTTTAGAGCACAGATTCAAGACTTGCAGTACCTGGGTTCAAATCATGGCTCTACCATTCTCAATTTGAGCTCTGTGACCTCGGCAAGTTGTATAACAACTGATGTCTCAGCGGCTTCTCCATTTATAAAATGGTGATAATAACCCACTTAAGTCAGGAAGCAACAGTTAGAACTGGACATGGAACAACAGACTGGCTCCAAATAGGAAAAGGAGTACGTCAAGGCTGTATATTGTCACCCTGCTTATTTAACTTATATGCAGAGTACATCATGAGAAACACTGGACTGGAAGAACCACAAGCTGGAATCAAGACTGCCAGGAGAAATATCGATAACCTCAGATATGCAGATGATAGCACCTTTATGGCACAAAGTGAAGAACTAAAGAGCCTCTTGATGAAAGTGAAAGAGGAGAGTGAAAAAATTGGCTTAAAGCTCAACATTCAGAAAACTAAGATCATGGCATCCCGTCCCATCACTTCATGGCACATAGATGGGGAAACAGTGGCTGACTTTATTTTGGGGGGCTCCAAAAGCACTGCAGATGGTGATTGCAGCCATGAAATTAAAAGACACTTACTCCTTGGAAGGAAAGTTATGATCAACCTAGACAGCATATTAAAAAACAGAGACATTACTTTGCCAACAAAGGTCCGTCTAGTCAAGGCTATGGTTTTTCCAGAGGTCATGTATGGATGTGAGAGTTGGACTATAAAGAGGGCTAAGCACAGAAGAATTGATGCTTTTGAACTGTGGTGTTGGAGAAGACTCTTGAGACTCCCTTGGACTGCAAGGAGATCCAACCAGTCAATCGTAAGGGAAATTGGTCCTGGGTGTTCACTGGAAGTACTGATGTTGAAGCCGAAACTCCAATACTTAGGCCACCTGACGCGAAGTGCTGACTCATTGGAAAAGACCCTGATGTTGGGAAAGATTGAGGGCAGGAGGAGAAGGGGACAACAGAGGATGAGACGGTGGGATGGCATCACCAACTCAATGGACATGGGTTTGGATAGGCTCTGGGAGTTGGTGATGGACAGGGAGACCTGGCGTGCTGCAATTCATGGGGTCCCAAAGAGACGAAAGTGACTGAACTGAACTGAATAGCAAAGTTTTGAGGGCTATAAGCTTTTAAAGTACTGGCTACTCCACAGTGAGGTGTGAGTAAGTGACCCTTAACACTGTGGCTGTTTTAGACACCTGAGGGCAGAGATACACATTAACTAGACAACTCACAGGTACTTCAACTTCCTTGCTTATACAAAGACATATACAAACTAGTGTGCTGCAAATAGATGTGCTCACAGTTCAAAATAACAAATACAATTTATATGTGTTATTATGTACACACCTGATGGAGTCGCACAGAGTCGGACATGACTGAAGTGACCTAGCAGCCGTACACACATAACTATTTATATGTGGGCTGCAGCATGTGCAGTTCCATGTCATTCACCGTAATCACCTATTTTATTCTATTTCCTTTTTTTTAATAAAAAATGGTGGCCACAACTTTGAACTGTTTCCCAACCTACCATTTCACAGATGAAGAAACCAAGGCAGAAAGATTAAGACACTTGCCCAAGGCTGCAGGGCTAAGAGGAGACAGTAACCACACCGAGCATTCAGAGAGAAAGAAACACACACCAGCTTCATCCGAATCACCCACGACTGAGACCAACCCAAATGCCATCAAGAGAAGAATGGATTATGAAGCTGTGGTACATTCATACACTGGAACAACCCCCAGCTATAAAAAGGAAATCTACTGCTAAAGCAAAAATAGTATAGTGAGGGAGACTCAAACACCCTTTATGTTAGTTCAAGAAGGCAAAAATTAATGCAGGGCCCTAGAAATCTGAAAATGATAGGGGTGGGGGTTTTGAATGGAGAGGGTCAGGAGGGGCTTTCTGCGGTACAGAAATGTACTTGGTATATCTTAATCTAGATGATGGTTTCATGCATGTATACATTTGTCAAAACTCACGCTATATCCTTGAGAACAAGTATATCCTCTGCTATTTATAGCAAGAAGGAAAAGAGTAATGAAAATGACATTTTAGTGAAATGTCAAAGGCCAAGAACAGATTTCAGGCTGTGGGCAACACAACAAGGAAAGAGTAATGAGGCAGTTTGCTGGTGCTGTAACTGCAGAGTTCCAACACTGCTGAGATGGATGACCTACCCAAGAACAACCAGGTAGACAACCCTGACATTAGAAGACAATCCTCAAAAGTGGAATGGCAATACCCAGGAAAGAATTTTCTTATCAGGTTAATTCTACAGCTGAGAACTCATCCTTGAAAAGAATCCTCAAGAGGGATTGCTTCTCAGGTGCCAGTGCATTATCTTGTTACAATGCACCTCTGAAGTAGATACTGTTACTTTTATTCCCATTTTACACTTGAGGAAACAGACTTAAAGAAGTAACTGTGTTAAGAGCAGAGCTGGAACCCTAACCAAGGTGACGGCCTTCAAGACCACTATGTCAAATAGTAGCCACTTTTCTCTGACCTCTAGAACAAAACGGGTTTGAAGGGAGGGGGCGGGTTTCAGTTAATAAACATTGATTCTTCTAAACTTTCAATACAAAATGTGGAAGTTCAAAAAGAATGAAGTAGGACTTCCCTGATGGTCCAGTGGTTGGAAGGCTGCCTGCCAATGAGAGGAAACACAGGTTCGATCCCTGGCCCGGGAGGATTCCATAAGTCATGCAGCAACTAAGCCTGCATGCCACAACTATTAGGCCCACAGTCTACAGTCCATGTTCTGCAACAGGAGAACCCACCACAATGAGCAGCCCACTCGTCACAAGTGGAGAGCAGCCCCCACTTACCACAACTAGAGAAAAGCCCGCATATAGCAACAAAGACCCAGCACAACCAAAAACAAAAACTTAGAAACTAAACTAGTAATTAAAAAAAAAAAAGAATGGTGTAAAGGAAACAAGTTTTTGGTATTATTGGAGAAGCACCGGATTTTGTTTTGTTTTGTTTTTTTAACTGAAGCATAGCTGACTTATAACATATTGGTTTCAGATATACAGCATAGTGATTTGATGTTTTTACAGATCATACTACATACAAAGTTATAATAAAATATTGACTATATTCCCTGTGCTGTCCATTACATCTTTGTAACTTATTTATTATTTATTATATATTTTAATCAAGAGTAGTACTTACTTTTTACTCTAAGATTTACAAATTCCCTCATTCCAACAAATAGCCCCACAGTAGAAGAGGTATTTGTCATGCTGAGAACTCCGTGAAGTTATCACCATATTGAACATCCCAGAAGAGATCAACGAGGATTCACAAACTTTTTGTGACTCTTAAATCTGTCCAGTAGATTCTAATCTAGTTGTTTGTATTTATTACTGCTGGATAGTTTTGGCTAAGGACATATAAGTGAAAGATGTTTTTATAAAGCCAGTCCCTACATCATACCTTCACTCCCCCAGAGCTTTTACACATCTAGAGAACATGGTAGATATAAAGGTATGTGCGTAGTCTCAGCTCACCTGGTAAGCAGTGTCCCATCACTTCATTCTTCCCCCCCTTCTCAACCACTACCTACCTTCCACCCCTCAAGAATTCCACTACTGAGCTACCAAGGGCCTTCTTAAACTTCCTCCAAAGAAAGTGGTTAAAAAAATTTTTTTTTAAACCCACAAGGTATTTCCTACTCTTTAATTATAGTTTCAAAGGGCCCCAAGTGACATACAACCTGAATAATTCAAAATGTCCACACTAAGTCTAGGGTCCAGGCCCTCCTCCTTAGGTCAGCTCCTTTCAAAGAGCCTTTGAGCACACCTATGAGCAAACTGCAGGTCTCCGTCCAGCACATCTTTGGCAACCTAAACCTCTTTGCTATGGGACTGACTTGCAAGGACAGGAGAGCATGAATGTGTCTGTGTGGGTACCTGATACAGTTAAAGAATCAGTCATCCTATTAGTAAATAAATCGATAGTTTTAAGTTCGTCTCATTCTGTCTTTTTTTTGATCTCCAGATTCCAGACAATGTGCTTTCTAAAAACAAACCATTCCTCTAAGTCAGGATAACTCTCCTAAAGTTAAAGTAGCACTTGACCCAGTATCACTGATCTGGAGGGCTTGCCCTTCAGGAGACAGGCTGAAAGGAGGACAAGGAAAAGAATGAAGGCGAACAGAGAAAGACTACAATCAGGAAGATCTGGAAGGAAAAATAGCACATGCTACGAACAGCTAACTACCTGGCAGAAATTTTCAACTCAGAAAAGGAATATGGATATTCCTGAAATTTCTAGAGTAGAAGAGGACAGCTTAAGGAAGAAAAAAAGCACAGTACTTTTTGCACAGACTATGAACCTCTAAGTTAATTTTCCTAGGAAAAGATTCAGGGTGAATAATATGACTCCAGAAGAATAAGCCAGTTATTCATCCTGACCTACGGATACCTACAATTCAACCAGAACCATCTGAAGTGATGATGTGGAGTTTCTTATCACAGAAAAGTACCAATACTTCTTTTGGGAATACTCTGAGGAATACTGATCCTGGCCAAGGTTTCCAGCTTCACTGGTGCAATTCAGGCTTTTCCATCTGTGATCAAGAACCAGGCAAGAACCTATCCCCTCAGCCAAGACAGGGCTTCATGGATCTCAAAGGAACACCATCCTCCCCTTGTTTCAATGATTCCAGTCCTCAATTCAAGGATTCCAGAACATTTTCCTGTCCATTTCCCACTTGCGCTCCCTAAGGGAAGCTGAGAGGATACCACTTTACCATGGAGAAAAATGGAAGCCCAGGGAGGGTTAACTGGGTAAATGAGGGCTTCCCAGGTGATGCAGTAGTAAAGAATTAGCCTGCAAGGCAGGAGATGTGGATTTGATCCCTGGGTCGGGAAAATTCCCT